GATCTAATCTGGTGAACACAAATAGCAGTGAAAACAAGAAAAATGCAACAATTTTAATAGTTTAGTAAACACATACAGATCAAAGTATAAAAACACAAAAAAAATACATTAAAATGTGAATTTAATGACGTTAGGACTGAGAGAAATATATAAGATTCACATTATTAAATACTTTTTATACCAATTTGTTTTTTCGTGTAATATTTTTTCAAAAGTAGAAATAAGAGCTAAATATCAGAACAAACATCTGTTCCACATGTAGGTTTGTTCATTGTCACAAGATTTATTGTAAAGCCAATAAAAAGTGGTACAAAAAAGATTTTCTAATAAAGGGTAAAAACTTTCCCACACCCACACTGCTGTGAGAACAACTACACACTTTATTATTTTCTATCTATTTTTGTGTTTAAAAAACATTAGAGAAGAACCCGTCCAGATGACCAATACAATTTTTTTTTTTTTTGGTTAAAAAAACAGTTCAGATAAGAAGCTGATCAGATCAGCTTTTTGTAGTCTGTAGCACCACCTGCAGGATAAAATAAGAACGGCACTGACAGCACTGAGATCTGATTTGATTTAAAAAAAAAGATAATTTATGAACGCTGACAATTAATTTTGTTGCTTGAACCTTAATTATAAAACAAAAAAGAAACAAAACATTTATARAGACTCCGGCCTCTATCAGGTTATGTTGGGACTTCATTCTTCAAGCTGTGGGAAGTGTTCCTCACAGGTTCTGCTCCATGTTAGCATGTTAGCATCATGCTGCTGCTGGACTGAGATCTGARGGCTGTGGATCCTCCAGAGTCCAGACCAGCTGAGACCTGTCTGACCCCAGGACTTTCTACAGAAGTGGAGACCTCCTCGCATGTTTTTGAAGATGTTTCCTCAGCTCGTGGTGAAGCCCCTCAGTCACTCAGGCTTGTGTTGACAGGAAGCTGCAGTCCAAACCGACGGTGGTCCATCAGCGATCCGAGCCGAGCCGCAGACCCCTCTGCTCTGCTGAGGAGACGAACATCTCCCCCGTCAGAAAGAGAAACATGGTGAGTTCTGGTCCAGCAGAACCAGTGTTCCTCAGACCAGGTCCAATAAGTCCTGAAGTGGATTATTTCACATGTTCCAGAGCTGAAGTTTATTTTAAAAAACTTTTCTCACATTTCAAACTGTTCTTTCRTCAGACGAGCTGTGAGCATGCTCAGAAGCCCCCGTGTGGAGCGGAGTGCAGCCCCCTGAAGAAGATGAAGATGTCTGARGCTGCAGGGCAAAGGTTGGTTTTCTGCTTTCTGATGTCATGTTTGTGTCTGTTAGCATAATATCTCCTAAAGCACTGAACCAGTTTTAAAAAGCTGCTTTTATGTCCTGTTTGTGTTCAGCAGTGAGGACMCCTCCTCCTCCTCCTCCTGTGRGATCCTCTGATGGTCGTTCAGTGAGCACACCTGAAACTCTCAGCTTTAACTTCCTCCTTTGTGCAATAATAACCTCTGCAGCTGATCACAGGGTGACACCATGTAATCATGGAGCATTACTTTAAACTCCTCCCACTTTATTTCATTTACTGATCCTTTCGTGTGTTTTTATTTGTCCGGTGTTTTAGTTTTGTCAATATAAATCTGTTTTTGTGCTTTGAAACATTTATTTCTACTTTATACCTGAAGCCAAAAGTTTGTGATTAAAATGACCCCAGTGCTCAAACAGCTGCTACCTGCTGAAGAGCCTCGCTTTGTATTTACTGAGCAAATTTAAAGTCTTCCTTTTTAAACTGTTTCTCTATTATTCATTTTTCTTTTCTTTAGCTAAAATATTATTTAAAGCTGTTACACTGGTTTTATTAGAACTGCAGATGGAAATTGTAATTTCCAAATAAAACAATCTAWATAAAATAAAGCATTTTAAATCTTCCAACTATTTTAAAGGGGGCCTATTATGCAAAATTCACTTTTTAAAGGTTTTTTTTCTCAACTTTGGGTATGTACTTCTTAAAAAACAGTCTTAGGACCAAAAAAATGCACCCAAGGACATATTTACTGTAAGTAAATGTATTTTTAATGTATATTAATGACAAGTTTTATACTTCCATCATTTTGTGATGTCACAACACTTGGAGGTTTTTATGTAACAACAATCGTTACTGAAAGGTGATTTGAAAGCTTGATTTCTAATTGCAGAGATTCAGACTCAGTTGACAATTCTATTATAGAATGTGAATATTTCTTGTGAACATTAACTGCAACACCACCTCCAAGCCTATCAGTACGGTCTCTACGATACAATGAATAATTTTCAACTGAAAGAAACAAATTTGGTAAAACAGGAGTCAGCCATGATTCTGATATTGCCATAACATGTGCTTGTGTCTGAGCAAGTATTACTTTGAATTCATCCAGTTTAGGTACAAGAC